ATAAATAAATAAAATCTTTAAAAAAAAAAAAAAGAAGGAGAATCAGATTAGAGGTGTGAACGAGCATTAAGTTTTAAATGCACTGATTTTGAGCCTCCTATGGCTCATTCAAATGGGGAAATCAAATCAGCAACTAGAAATATGGGTCTGTGGGGTGCCTGGGTGGCTCAGTCAGTTGGGCATCTGCCTTCAGCTCAGGTCATGATCCCAGAGTCCTGGGATCGGGCCCTGCGTTGGGCTCCCTGATCAGTGGGGAGCCTGCTTCTCCCTCTCCCTCTGCCTGCCGCTCTGCCTACTTGTGCTGTCTCTTTCTCTGTCAAATAAATAAGTGAAATCTTTAAAAAGAAAGGAAGAAAGAAAAGAAAAGAAAAGGAAAGGAAAGAAAGAAGAGAAAAGAAAAGAAATATGGGTCCGAAATTTAAGAAAAAGGTATGGAATAGAGATGTATATTTAAGAGTCACTAATGAATGGTATATAGTTGATAAATGAAGCCATGGGAAAGATAAGCTAAACCAGGGTATAGACCACAGATTGAAGGTAGGGGCTAAAATAGAATCTTAATGCACACTAGTATTTACTGTAGGTAGAGCAAGAAAAAACTAAAAGAGGATTTTGAAGAGGATTTTGAGAAGTAGTTCCCAAGAATGCACAATGGGAAACAAAAGCAATTAATATATAAGAAGGCAAAAGAGAAGGTAGTTTTAAGAAAGAGGATGTGGTCAGTTATGTTAAATGCCTGAGAAAAGTAGTTACCACTCATGGGAATTATTTGCTCCAAAGAGGTTGCTGACTACCAAAAGGTCTGGATACAAAAAGGAGTTTTAGCAAAAACAAATGACACATTCATGCAATGGAATATTATACAACTATTAGAAAAATAATGGAGAAACTCTTTGTGGACTGATGTGGGAAGTTCTCCAGCAGAAGTAGATTTACTGTGAAGCTACTGAGGCTTGAGTTTCATGAGCCCTCATTGTCATGGCCTCTACACCTAATTTTATATTAGTAATTTTGCATTATTTTTTCTTAACAAAGTCTCCCAAGTTGTATAAGCCCTTTGCTCTCATAAAATTTGTGTCTATCCCTGATTTTTAGGATATATTGTTAATCATAAAAAGAAGGTCCAGATCACAATATATAATATTCTGCCTTCTGGTAAGAAAAGGGGGAAATTAGAATGTATACTTATATTTGCATACAGAAACAGTGAAAGAATATACAAATGACCCCAGAGAACAAGACTTCCAAATGTGTATCATGTATATTTTTTAACTTCTGAATATGAGCATAATATCCATACAAAATATCAAATTCCTATTTTAAGAAAATTCAATGCTGGACACCTGGGTGGCTCAGTCGGTTGGGCATCTGCCTTCGGCTCAGGTCACGATCCTGGGGTCCTGGGATCAAGTCCCGCGTCGGGCTCCCTGCTCGGCGGGAGGCCTGCTTCTCCCTCTCGCTCTGCCGCTCCCCCTCCCTCTGCCGCTCCCCCTCCTCATGCTCTCTCTCTCTCTGACAAATAAATAAAATCTTAAAAAAGAAAAGAAAATTCAATGCTGTGAATGAAGAGTAAGAACAAAGCTATGAAAAGCAGCTATCTATTTAATTGTCTGTTAGTTTAGTTTATTCCCAAATCCTGAAGGTTAACTGAAGGCTCACCAGGTAAGCATAATAGTTGGCTCTCCCCCTTCCTACAAAGAAGGGCAGCAGGTTGGGGGTCTCAGTGAGGTCAGAAGACGGCTGGAGTAGAACTGGAAGGCTCCGAGGTCCCGGAGTAACTGAGGCCGTTCTGCAGGAGCACAGGCTTCCGCGGTCAGTGGAGAATGAGAGGGAGGCACTGGGAGGTCCTTGGACACCAGCAGCACAAAGCAGTAATGAGCGGTGGTAACCCCATCTCAGGCATTTTTCTTTTCATTGAGGTGTAACTGACACATGATATCCTGTTTGTTCAGGTGTACATCTTTGTAATGCGGCATTTTTGTATGTTACAAAATGATCCCCACAGTAAGTGTAGTTCCATCTGTCCCCACACAACGTGAGGACAGCGTTACTGACTCTACTCCCTGTGCTGTACATCCCATCCCCATGATGTACTTATTTTATGCCCGGAAGTCTGTACCTCTTTTTTTTTTTTTTTTTAAGATTTTATTTATTTGAGAGAGAGAGAGTGCAGAAGAGAGGGTAGGGTCAGAGGAAGAAGCAGACTCCCCACTGAGCAGGGAGCCCGATGCGGCACTCGATCCCGGGACTCCAGGATCATGACCTGAGCCAAAGGCAGTCGCTCAACCAACTGAGCCACCCAGGCGCCCCTGGAAGTCTGTACCTCTTAATCCCCCCACCCGCTTCACACTTCACGGGCCCCTCAATCTTTGCCCCTTCTGGTAACAGTTTGTTTCCTCTCTCTCTGAGTCTGTTTTGTTTTGTGTGTTCATTTGTTTTGTTTTTTAGAGTCCACATATAAGTGACATCATATGGTATTTGTCCTCTGATTTATTACACTTAGCATAATGCTCTCTAAGTCCATCACCTTGTCTCAAATGGCAAGATTTCATTCTTTTTTTTTTTTTGAAGATTTATTTATTTATTTGACAGAGAGAGTGAGCACTAGCACAAGCAGGGGGAGCAGCAGAGGGAGAGGGAGAAGCAGGCTTCCCGTGGAGCAAGGAGCCCAATGTGGGACTCATTCCCAGGACCCTGGGATCATGAGCTGAGTGGAAGGCAGATGCTTAACCGACTGAGCCACCCAGGCGCCCCATGGATTTCATTCTTTTTTATGGCTGAGTAATATCCCATCATGTATATATACCACGTCTTCTTTATCCATTCATCTGTCAGTGGACATAGGTTGCTTCCATTTCTTGGCTGTTGTAAATAATGCTGGGATGAACATATGGGTACATCTATCTCTTCAATTTAACATTTTTGTTGAGCTGAGTTAGTGTTAAAGTTAGTGTCTAGGCCCTCTTTGATAGATAACAGGTGGTGGTTAATAAAAGCAAGTCTCAGACCATAACCTTGCATAACTAGACACAGACCATTCACACAGCTTGTTCAGTAAGCTGAGTAAAGTCCCAGCATTCTGTCCTTGTACGTGCTCTAACTACACCTTGTATGAAAGGTTTACCGAGGCACTCACAGCCACATTCCAGAGGCAAAACTGTGTGCCCTCTGGCTTTGGACATTTGGAAATGTTCCTGTATTAATGGTTGAACACAAGACTGATCAGATGTCAAGACTCAAAGGTCATCCACAGGGTAAAGGACCTAGACCTCCTCGGATTCTTACTCTCTGTTCATGTAAAAGTAGGGAGTGATTGACAAATGCACTTGTCTTGAATTCCTTTAATTTCAACAAAGAAAGCCCATTTTTAACATTCATCAAGCTATTCAACAGGCTGTTATTTTCACTAATGAAAACCCATGTTAGACAGTGAGTATACTAATTAGAAAACCAGTCAATATATAACACTTGATAGTATCTGCCTCAAAAGGGTTGGTCCTTTACGACTAGAATATCTTGTCAGCCCTGTCATAACTGATAGTATATTAATGCCATCATCCCTTGATTAGGGAAATGGACTCTCTAGGGTTCAATGTGAACTAATCCATATATAATAATATACTGGCTTTGCTTCACATTTTAAAGTAAAACATCACAGTAGTGGAAAAGTCTGATAACAAAGGGGCTTTTTAAAGGAGGAGGAGATACAGTTTGGAGGTGTCAGTGGAGCACTTGAAAGGCGGCTACCCTACCTCCACGCCTTGAGCTGTCTGTGGTATGTGATGGGAGGGAAATAGTGCCTCCATTTTAGCAGGCTGCAAGAGAAGCAGTATCCCTAGAAGACAGCTGTGTTTCACCTGGAGCAGGAAGGTGAGAAGAATATGGAGAATTAGGAGAAGTAGAGCATGTTGAGTACGGAGTGCACAGGGGAAGGCTTCGGGGAAACGGGCACACATGGGAAGCAGGGTTGGTTAAAGGATGTGCTGCGTACTATGTAGACAAATGTCCACAGAATCTATGACCCTAAACTGGGCCCCAGTTTCCTCCATTGCAAAATGGAGATTCAAGTAGCAGCTGCCTCATAGGCCATAGTGAGGATTAAATTAGCTAATAGTTAGAGTGTGCTTAAAAATAATGTCTGTAACAGTAAGTGCTCAGTAAACAGTAGTTGGTGTTTTTTATACCTTCCCATTTTCTTCATAAAATATTAACAAACTTTGGGGCACCTGGGTGGCTCAGTCAGTTGAGTAGCTGACTCTTGATTTCAGCTCAGGTCATGGTCTCAGGGCTGAGGGACTGAGCCCCACATTGGGGCTCCATGCTCAGTGGGCAGTCTGCTTGAGATTCTCTCCCTCTCCTTCTGCCCCTGCCCCCGCTAGTGCGCTCTTGCTCTCTTTCTCTCTCTCTCTCAAATAAATAAATTTTTAAAAAATCAGTAAATTTTGTCAGAAATTTATGGAATCCTGAGATCAAATATTGTGGGGTGCATGCCAGAATGAAGAACCTAGACATTTCTCAAAGTTTCTTTCCAGATAAATATTCTTAAAATTGGCAAGTAACAGTTTCTCTGTGGGTAATTAAATGTCTAAATTTAAAATATTTACACTATTCTAAAAACTATTTTCTTTTTACAAAAGTTTTAAAGTAGTACTTTATTATTGACCAGTTATCTAAAAAAAGATAATTGAAAATGAAGTGATTCTGTACTATTTGATTTTTATTTATTATCCCTTTAGTTTTTAAAAAACCAGTTCCTCCGTTGGAAGAAGCCCTCAAGCAAATTCAGGAATCCAATTTAAAATCAGAAGTAAACCTCCTCCCTTCCCACAGACCAACAATAAATTGGAGGTAAGTAATTTATTATTATAATGTATAATTTTTAATATATAATAATTAGATAGGCTTTTTGGCTGAGTTTGTAGGCCTTGTCATCAGTTACTCCTCACCTTTATTGTAGGGTTTACTATTTTATTCTCACAGATTAATTTGAGGTAGAGTAGAATATAAATTGCTTCAAGAATAAGGCAAAATTCTAATTTATTGTCTTTGGTATTACAGTGCTGCCTATGTTGAATAATTTTCCATGGAAACCATCACTAAAACCATTTAAAAATATTGATGTTCATTATTTATCCTTACTGAGAGGAAAAAACTGTGTTGTAGCGATATAAGTTTAGATAAAAGGAGTAATTTATGGTAGAAATGGGTTTTTCCTCATGGAAAAAAACTTTCTTGGATCTCTTGAAAAAGCTAATGTCTCCTGGTTCCTCTCCAGGGTAGTGTAAGTGAATTATCTAGGAGCAGTAGAATGGCTCAGCCAGAGTACCCTGTGACATCTTATATTTTCCATTTACTTGGTATAAATGTTTATTGGAGCTACAGCATGTGTAGTGCTAGATCCAGCACCGTAAAGGGGATGTGGAGAAGTATAATACCGTAAAATACGATTCCTAGCGTATAATCTAGGAGAGAAGCAAAATCGTGCTTCAAAAAGTATAAATAGTACCAAATGAGTAATGATAATAATATGTAATATTTATTTATATAAAGGCATTTATAATTCGGACATTAATTATGTTAATATTTTATCTGTACATAATGTTACTTACTAAAGTACTTCCATTTTTAGACTATGTGTGGCCAATGGTTCCCTTGATCAGAGCTAAGAACAATTAAATTCATTTTCTCAGTCATCATTATAGTTCAGGAAAGACCTCATGGAATAGAAGATTCTTCAACAAAGCTTTGAAGAAGATAGGAATTGGTTATGAAACAGGTGGGCCCTGGGACTCCAGACAGAGGGCCAAGAGTGACGGAAGGAATGGTGTGTTCTAGGGGTAGGAGTGTGCACAGTAACAGTAGCTTGGCTAGACAGGAGATTGGAGAGTAAAGGCATCTGTACACTAAGGAATATAAACTTTATCTTGAGAGTTCAAGAGGAGTCAGTGAAGGATCTTAAGTAGATGGGTGGTAAGATCAGCTTTTCTTTTTTAATATATCATTCCAATCTACTGTGAACAAATGTGAATAATGGATTGAAAGAGGACAAAACAGGAGGCTATTTCAATACATCTAATTGAAATTATATGAGTTCAGAGCTCTAGAGAAAGATGTAGGCTTAAGGTCATTGAACAGCACACAGGAGGATGTGTACTGTGATGACAGGCCTAGGACAGAGCACTGAAAACAGCCACGTTTAAGGAAGTAGAAGAAAGAAGCCTACAGATGGGAGCAGAAAGGTTGATACAGGACTAGGAGAGGGTTGTGCTATGGAAACTAAAGAAGGATAGATGTTCTTGGAGAAAAAGCAGTTTTATAGAGATCAAATGGCTTCTAGGGAATTAGTCACACAAGCTGTTGTCCTGGCGTGAAACAGGTGGCACATTTAAAAGGGGGGACGGGAGAGGGGTTAATGAAGGAACTGGAAAGCCAGCACAGGATGGGGGCCCCCAAGAACTAACAACCACAGAATCAGTATGACCCCCACAGACCTGACCTGGAGACATGGGTAGCCACAGACGAGCACTGCCAGAAGACCCCGTGTCCTCAGCAGAGTGGAAGCTAGAAGACTAATGATCAAAAACATCTTTTGAGAAAGAGAAGCAGTGAAGGTTTTTAATCAGGGACTGATTTTTTTTAAGACTTTATTTATTTGAGAGAGAGAGCAGGAGAGGGGTGTGGGGGAGGGGCAGAGGAAGAGGGAGAAGCAGACTCCCCTCTGAGCAGGGAGCCCGACGTGGGGCTCGATCCCAGGACCCTGAGATCATGACCTGAGCCAAAGGCAGATGCTTAACCGACTGAGCCACCCAGGCTCCCCCATCAGAGACTGATAAAATCCTCTTTGTCATTTTAGAAAGATAATTGGTGTGAATGTTGGAGAATGAAAAGGATGGAAAGAAAGTGAAGGCAAGGGAACAAGAGAAGATTAATGGGATAATCCAAAGGATGTATCATTACTGTTTAAACTGGAATAGTACTATTTTGTATAGTGAGGAAATGATAGGTCTGTGAAGGAATAAAAATATTTTGAGTGGTTAGAAGGAAAGGATGAGAGAAGGAAAGATGCAAACACCTTTTCACAGCACAGAGAACTGATGTAAGAAAGAGGATTTAAGAATGTTGACCAGATAAAAGTATAAAATGTGGAACATGGAATGAATAATGGCAGGAAAATCAGGAGGTATCCAGCCATGAACTTAAAAAGACTTACGTTAAAAGGATAGTAGTAGTGAAATCGAAAAGAAAGGTAGAAGGAAAAGACATTTCATAGAAATAGACTATGGAAATTAGATTATGAATTTGGTGTATGATGGGATAAAGAAAATGAAAAAAAGCAAAAAAGATCAAAAGAAGCTGAAATTTTGAGTCTTGATAATTGAGGGAATTTGTTGACTTTAAAAAAAAAATAAAAAGAAACAATGAAACAGTATAAGTTTGGCAAGGTATTGCTAAATTTTATTGCAGGTATCTGAACTGAGGGGATAAATATCCAAGTAGAATGTATAAAAACAATTGGACCTAAAATGAAATGAGATATCCAGGCTATAGAATACACTTGGAAGTCATGATTGTATATGTTGTTTCTTCATTTTTATATGTAGTTATGTCTCCCCAACCAGAATGGGGTATTCTAGGGATCAGTGGCTAAACGGTGCACACACAGGTATTCCCTGTAGTTCCTGGCTCTGTGCTGTGCATGTTGGAGGCGTTCAATAAATACTATGGGTGAAGGAACATCCCTGACATACATGGACACTCCTCCGAGAGTATGAACTTGACCTGAAGTCAGTAGACGAGGAGGAGATTGGTCAGAGACAAACACCGAGAGGGCACTCCAGCCGGGGGAGCAGGTAGCGTAGGAAAGGGCGTGCTGTGTTGAGGGCGCTGAACGCAGCTCAGTCCCACTAGCATGCACAGTGAGAAGGGGACTTGTGAGCAGACAGTTTGCTTGGAAAGGAAGCCATGAGTTAACTCATGAAGAGGCTTGTTAAGGAGTTTGTCCTACAGATTATTACTGAAGCAAGCATGCAACATTTATACTTTAGAAATACTGAGAGAATGGGAAGGAGTAGGGTACAGCTAAAGGTGGGAAATAGCTAACGTGATACTTCAGTTCATAAAAATGAAGACTTCTTGAGAGTTGTTTAGGAGGGGGAATCAACAGGATTTGGTGAGTGTTTAAGAACTGGAAGGTGTTCAGGAGGAGTGAAGCATGACTGGAGATCAGGATTGGTCAGTTAACAGGTAGTGAAACCACAAGAACTATTAGGGAAGAAGAGGTGTGAAGGAGGGAGTGACTGGCAAAAGGATAGTAAGTTGTAAGTTTGAGGCACTTAGGGGATATTCCCGAGCCAATTTCTCATGGTAAGAGCTCTCAGCCACAGATCTAGATACGATAATTGCCAATGAATGGATGAAGTTAAAGACATGGTTCGTGAGTTCAGCTAAACAGTGAAACTCCCACCAAGTTGTGCTGGGCTTCAGTTAGAGGACAGAAAACATTTCACGGCAACAGGCAACATTCTTTAGTGGGAGGGATCCTCCTGGCAGATCACAAAGCAGTCGGTCTTTGCTATGCCCTGTCCCCGCACATGACAGCTCAGCTACGAGGAAACAAGATCACAGGGCGGGTGGGTGCCACCCTGGCTAGAAACCCCGTGTTCCAAACAGGAACCAGTATTCCTGGCAATGGCTCCATATGGATCACGCCTAGGTCCATGAGAGAGACACGTCCAGTAATAAGAATTTCCACACTCGGGGAAAACCACAGCTGTAGCTTTGTGCCAGCTATCTGGGGTTGATTCAGTCCTCTAGATTACACAGAGTATGGATAGATAAGCAAAAAAGAGCGTCACATAACTCTCAAAAATTCCAGCGTAATAAAAAAAGTGAATTCTTCAGCTCAAGAGTACACTTGTAAAAACTCACCAAAGTGAATAGTTGTTTTGCTAGTTTAGATGAAAGTTCAAAACTTTACTGGATTTCAATACAATAGCGCTTTTTTTAAGTTTTTATTTATTTATTTGAGAGAGAGAGAGAACAAGCAGTGGGGAGGGGCAGAGAGAGAGAGAGAGAGCGCGAGAGAAGCAGACTCCCGCCTGAGCAGGAAGTCTGATACAGGACTTGATCCCAGGACCCTGAGATCGTGACCTGAGCCGAAGGCAGATGCTTAACCAGCTGAGCCACCCAGGCGTCCCAATACATTTGCTTTTACACCAAAACTTTACAAATTAAAACTGGAATTCTGTCAGTATCTTTTTAACAGAATTACCTGGAGTAAGGAGATAAAATAATTATATCTCTTTTGACCTTTTGGAAAGTGTTTTTTTTTAGTTTTGCAAGTATATTTAACAGCAAGAGTTAAATATAATTTTATATTTATAAAGCAAGAGTCCATTTCAATATTTAGCTACTCTCTGGATTTTGGAAGCAAAGTACCAAGTCTTAATAAGATAGTGCCCATATAGATGAGCTTCCCCTGAGGGCGTGGAGACCAACAGATTGAGTGCATCTTGATGATGCTTGAGATTTGTCTTGCAATGTTAGGTTAAGCAAATCACGTTAATTTTCTTTGGAACTTAGTCTCCCAGCACTTACTGTGATTACAAAGTATTTACCAGATATTTAACGAGGAGCTTTGTTTGTGAAAAAATACCATCTAAATCAAAAACACTATCGATGTGGAACACCAAATTACATTGTGTAGCAGTCAATCCCTTAGGATTTTTTTTTTTTAATTGTGGGTTATTTTCTGATTCTCATTTTTGGGGTTCTTAAATCTTAGCAAGCATCGCCAATAATAAATACCAAGAGTCCATTTTACCTTTTTTTTAAAGTTGCAGCAGTTGTCTGTTATGATAAAATAATGATTAGGGATGGAGCTCTGAGTGCCCAGAAGGGAATCCATACCAGTTGTTAGTCTGCTTTGTCTTATTTAGGAGCCACCGCATTTTTTCCCCACTGTTAATAACCAAGATAATTAAGTTAGAATGTGGCCATTTTGTTATGCTTATGAGACTACAGTTCTCAATTTTGGGTTAGAGGTTTTGGCTTCTATAAAAATGTCGTTTTAAAATACATTTTGAGGGCGCCTGGGTGGCTCAGTTGGTTAAGCGACTGTCTTCGGCTCAGGTCATGGTCCCGGAGTCCTGGGATCGAGTCCCACATTGGGCTCCCGGCTCAGCGGGGAACCTGCTTCTCCCTCTGACCCTCTCCCCTCTCATGCTGTTTCTCTCTCTCTCTCTCAAATAAATAAATAAATAAATAAATAAATAAAATACATTTTGAATTATAAGAAAAAAATTTTTTGTACTTTTGTTTAATTGGAATAATTTTCAAGTTTCCACAATAGGGTAATTGTAAATTTAAAGCATTAAGCTTTATTGGTGAATAATGTATATATTCCCATTCCAAGAAATATAAGTGAATGACATTGAAGTAGTCTTTAAAGTTTGCTATAAAAAAGAAATTCCAGCATATAAAGGGCAAGCAAAGAAAGGAGCTCAACAAAGAACCTGAGAAGGAGCAACTGGAGAAGTAGGAAAATAACCAGGAAAGCACGATGACATGCAAACCAAGGGAATTAAAGTCAGAAGACAGCAGTCCAGAAGTGTCTGTTTTGGGTTAATCGCGAGCAAAAGCAGTACCTCGGAGCGGCGGGAGGAAGCCGGACAGCAGTGGCGGAGAAGTCTCGGGGGTGAAGGCGGTATAACGTTAGAGTACTCCATGGGGAAGGGAAGATGACAGACATTTAGAGGGGGAACTTAGGGTAATAAAAATTCCAAATCATTTAGTATAAAAGTAATGTGCATTTTTGTATACAGGTTTTCCTTACTCACAGGTTTCTCTTTCTGCATATCAATTATTATCCTTTCAAAAAAAAGCTCTTTATTGCTAGGAATGAAAGTATAGGCTATTTTTCGCTCAACACTGTACAGTTCCTTAAAGTCTTAGAAGAGATGAAGTGTCAGAACAACTTTGACTTCCTGTAGCACACAAACATAGAGTTAGCATTATCCAAATCTGTGCTAGGACCACTAAGTAACATACGTCATTTTGTTTTACGAGAGATGATCTCCAATTTAAATTAGAATACATAGTTTTCATTTATTATTGTGATGCACTATTTTGACTATGACTATCTACACCTATCTGTATGTATACACACACACATAAATGTTATATATTTGGAAAACAACAAATGTATAGAATTTACAGAGATAACACTATGGCTTACTTATAAAATGTTGAATTTCTCCCCACAGATAACTAACAGTATTAAATAATGTGTATGAAAATGCTTTGTAAATTATAAAATGCTATACAAGTATGAAATATTGGAATATTAAGGATCAGGTGTTAAGTTAATAGAAATACGTGTACTATTTATTTAAAATATGATTAAGCTACAGTATTGGTAAGCTATCATCACATTAAAAATCCATTATATGTGGAACATAAACCTAAAATGTGTTAAGGAATAAAGTAATGGCAACAAACAGGCAGCATCCAAAGTAGTTGATTCTATCAGTACTCATGAACAATTGTTCCAATGTGGAAAATATTGGTGGCAGATAAAAAATAGTTTAAGATGTTGGTAATGTGATCATCTAACGGTAAAAAATTGTATGAAAAACTAGAGGGCATTCAATGCTAAAGCCTCAAGACAATCAGAGAAAATATCCATATGAAAATAGAAGCTGCCTCAGGAAATCATGAGATATAAGAATATTAATAAGGGACTAACATTAAAAATACAAGTAATCAGCCTTCCATCACAACCAAATACTTATCACAAATATAATATGCTTCACTCTTCTGATAGATGTAAGGTAAAAGAAGCTATATTTTCCCCTATATTAAATTTTTATACTTTAAAATGATATTATCAGATATCTATCTCCAATATCCATGTATTTATGGTGACACAGTTGAACCTGAACCACATGCAACCCTGAGAAATCTGGCCAGAGCTGAGCAGTGATCTATTTGACCTCATTTTCCCTTTGTACCAGTAATTTAAACCAGATTTTCTAGCCCATATTTATTATCTGTATGACTACCAGAATTCTAAGAGGTGAAAATACTCTTGAGAGGAATCAGAAAAGGGGAACGTGAATAAGCTACATACATTTCTCAGCACATGTGAGCGGACACTGGTTGATCAGAAGAACACATGCATGGACCCTCAGGATAAAAATATACTATGAAGCAAAAGCCTAGAGGCAGCCTAATAAGCGTCAACAACAAGAAGAACATCGTAATAAGGCTGTCTCTCTACCTGCCTGTCCAAATGCTTTTCCACCTGTGCAGATCCATTCCTGCCTGTCCAGCTGTCTCCACACCTTATCCCTACTTAACTGATCAGCTGTCTCCTCCACGGGCCCCATTGCTATCCCACCATTCCCAGATTCTTCCTGGCTATCCAACTGTTTCTGCCCCCCACCAGCCCCAAACCCTGCCTGTCCGTCCATCTGTCCCCGCTGCTCTTCCAAAGACCTCTTTACCAGCCCCGTTACTGTCCTACCCAGTCAAATATCTTCCTCACCCTCCAGCCCCAGTTAACCCCAGCTTCTCTAGCAGTTTCCCGCATCTACCAGCCCCAATTCCTTCTGGCCCACCTGACCATCTACCCCACCCACCCCGAAGTTCCACAATCATCCCTCCTCCTGACTCACAGAGCAAGTTATTTTACAAAACTTTCAGACCCAAACATTTCCCTCCACAGCGTTCTACTCCAGCCACTCTAATGCCTGCCCTCATTCATCATTCCCTTCCAGCTCTACTGGTTGTTTCCCCAACCCCTTTGGAAGCTGTCCCCATTTTGAAGCCTTCCTGTTTATCCAGTCACCCCCCTCATCAACCAGTCCCCACTCTTTCTGATATCAGCTTGTTCCCTGAACATCCTGCTACTTTAGATTCTTTTTGGTCAGTCCAGCAGTCTGTTCCACAAACCACCACATTGTCAGATCTGCCCCAGGCCTTTGTAGACCATCCTCCCGCCTCAGTTCACTCCCACCTACCTCCCTGTCACTCCCCGTGCTCTTCTTTGTCTTCCACACCTTCTTCATCCCCTGTGCAGTCCTCTTCCTCTTCCTCCATCCTTTCCTCCTCTTTACCCTCCTCTCCTGCCTCTCCATCCTTACCCCTTTCATCTGTCCCTCTCTTTTCCTCTCCTCTGCATTCAGCTCCCTCTCCAATCCATCCTGTGTCTTCATCCTTTCCCCCCATGCTTTACTCTCCCTCTCTTCCTACATCCCCATCTCCTTTTATTTCTATTCATCCCCTCAATCCTCCTCACTGGGGGAAGAAAGTAGAGAAGAGAAGAGAAGCAAGTGGAGTAGAGAAGAAAGAAATAGAGAAGAAAAAGTTGAGAGACGTCAACTTTAAAGGTAAATAAATTGGGTTTATTAGACATTTTGTAGATTTAGCAATATTTTGTTTGGGAAGGGTGACTGAAGGGGAAGGAATCTGTGAGAGTAGGAAAGCCTAAAAGGCAGAGAGAGAAACATTCTCTCAGCATTCAGGAACTCGTGCGAAATACCTTCTTGCTCTCTGTGACCGCGGACTCTGTGGTCACAAAAGGATGGGCTGGAATCTAGTAACCGTTGACCTTGACTATTCCAGTTCGTCCCAATAAAGATATATATGTGTATTGGAGATAGGTATATGTTACATGTGGCCGTGTATCCTCCAAACATTTTTATCCTTGTTAAAATAGGAGCAATGGAAGTGAGCTGGGCCTAAATGCTCTTGGGAATCACACTGCTGGGTGTATACAGCAGCAGTCCGCTCTTTGACACGCTTCCTTCCCACCCCCCAGAACAGTGCTCCTGTCTCTTTGCTTCTCACTCTGGACACGTGCTGGAATAGAACTAGCGGGACGTTCCCAGAAGATGCAGAGTCCTCATAGGAAGTGGTGTCACCCACTGATAACCTGTGGGTGGCACTTCAGGACCCTACAGGCAGACCCCGCACTAGAGACGCCCCTGGTGTGGCCTGAAAGCCATGCTCGCATTGTGATACAACCGAAAACAAGTGTGTATATTCTCCTCCGTCAAGAAGAGCCAGGCTTCCCAACCTGGGAAAGTAGGGCGGGGATTCCTGCCTGTCCCAACAGGCAGTTTTCGTATTTTCTGTCTGCTTGAGTCTTCAACCAGCTCTATCTGGGTTACGGGAATATGCACCAGCTGTGACATCATCTCAGAACTGCGGGCAGCACAGCACATTTTTATCCAGATAGGAATGCTCTTACAGACCTAAGGAATGACTCCACGTGTCTACAGGAATTCCTTCCACATCTGTCCCAAACGATAGAGAAATAGGACTCAATAACCAAAGCCATGAATAGTTGGGTATTCCCACATGAAGGTGGAGGCTTTATTGGCACTCTAATCCCACAACCATTTTTATTCTACTGTTGACTGCCTTAAATTCCCATTCTAATATCCTTAAGTGTAATTCTCTGAACACACACCCGCACACACACCCATCAACATAAATGTGTCATTTGTATAGATAGACTGAGGTTAACTTTATTTAAATGTACTAAATATTTTTTATGTATGGTTCACAGAGCTATAGATAATGCCTTGCCTTCATCATTGTCAAAAAATGGTCACAAGCATCAGAAACATCTCTTATCCAAAATCAATTGTGGTAAAGAAATGAAGGAAAACAACAGGGCAAACTTGGCTACTAACAAAGATGCGTTCCAGCTTAAACTGGAAGAAACTCAGAAACTCCTAGAAGATCAGCATCTAAGCAGTTTGCAAGTATGAAACTATAAATATGTTAATAATATTTTAGTATCTAGTAATTAATTCTGTCCCATCTCTGCAGTGATCTACACTAGATAAAAGTATGCCGTTAACCAAGGATAGGATGTGAATGAGTCGACACAAATTCATCACAGATACTACAGAAGTAATTGTTTAGATTTTTCTACCTTTTGCTCATTTTTCACTCTGCTTTCTCTATTCTTTTTCCATCTCTCATATTTGGAAAAATATGCTCTATCAATGTTATTTTCTGATCAAACGTGAAAGCTATTTAAAACTGCAATGTAATATAAGTATCATTGTTAGAGACTGGCTTATAAAAAGCATCCTGAAAATTATAATACATGTGGACATTAGGTTCTTAATGAAAATATGTCACAATTAGCTAGAGATGGCATTTCTGTTCTATCTCTGGTCATCCATTCACTTAGTTTTTTTCCCCCACAAAGTATGGATTTCAGCTGATTTTCCTAAAATGTTCATGCACTTTATTTTTCATGAGTAATTACACACATTTATGAGATTCTTAGTAGGCTGATATCAAGATTAAATTCATGACCTTGGCCTGATTTATCCAGTAACTAAGTAATAATGATAAGGCTTAAAAAAAAAAAAAGGAAAGCAGAAGGCTTCTTCTGGCTATGATGAAATGCCTTCCTACCATAAACAACTATAATTCTGAATAAGATATATGAAACAGCTGTTTTTAGACATCGGACAACAGGCAATATAGGATACGATCTTAAAAAAAGGAAAACAAGTGAGATAAGCCCTGTAATCACATAGGCTTTCTACCCGGACATATTCTTTGGACAAGCCTCAAAAAAAATCCACACCCCCTGCAAAGGCACATCAACATCAGATTAAGCCACGCAGCACAGGGAATGTCATCAACGGTGTCGTGTGGGGACAGATGCAGCCACACTTGTGGTGAGCCCAGCATCACTGTGTTGTACACCTGAAACTCATGTAACATTGTGTGTCAACCACACTCAAATTTAAGAAATTATTTTGAAAAATGTGGAAAATTTATCTAGGGGGGGAAAAGATCCATAGCATGTGGGTGAACAAAGATAAGACAGACCACATTAACTTCCGGCCAGAAGACAGTGAAGCATTTTTAAAGTTCTGATATCAGAAAACTCCTGGCCTAGAATTCTGTATCCAGCTAGAAATATCCTTCTGGAACGAAGGCAAAATAGGCATCTTCAAACAAACAAGAGCTGAACACTACTGCAGTCCACCAGCATCTGCACAATAAGAAATGTCCCTGGAGTTTTTCAGGAGGATGAAAACTCAGATCTGTAGTGATAGCAGATTAGTGGTAGTTAGTGGTGGATAGGTGTGGACTTCCAGCAGATGGAAAGGTTCTATGGATTGTTTGATATGGTGGGTATGGGTGAATAATTTGTCAAAATCCATCAAACTATACATTTAAAATGGGTGCATTTGGATGCATCCTCAATGACGATTTTAAAACTGAAACACAGAGTATAAACTAGTACAGTTTGCATATCAGTAACTTACAAGCAAAAGTTAAAGCTGATCATAATGTTTCATTTCTTAGTGATGAGAAGAAATCTGGGGAGGAAAGTATAGTTTGGTGAAATCAGAAGTTGCTAAACTTCTTTCCAGGTGCTTCGGGGTATGAGGCCATCACAGACCTGTAACAACAAAAATCTTAGAGCCATGGATATCACACGTACCAATCTAGAAAGACCCTCAAACCCAGATTTCTGCATCTCATTAGATGTCATCTCAAAGAAGCCCTTGAGGGTTTCCTTATGTTTGTCTATTAAAGCAGCTCAGCTGCACAAACAGGCATTGACAGAGTGTGCTCTGTTTTGTTCTCCTGATCAGGCTGAGTGACCATCACTTTCAAAAGACACCAGAGCACTGAGGATGTGATAAATAGGTGGTAAATGCTAGTAATAGCAAACTCTCATAATCGTTTTCAAAAGTTATTGCGTGATAATATATCAATAAGCATTAACTATACAAACTAAAGTAGTTTTATTCTGTAATTGAGTTCCTGGGTTTCTTCATTTATTTTTGGGCTAGAAAAATCATATATTTTTGTTTAGCATCAGAATATTTAAATTTTCTAAAATTTGCAAAAAATCTTAAGGGACAGTCATTTCCTTTCTTTTGAGTCCATTGAACTTTTTGACAAGATTTACGATCTGAAATCCTCTTGAATATATTTATTTATATGTGATACAAATTAATGCAGGTACATATGAGAAATTAGAAGTATCTTTAAACACATACCACACTTTGAAGTGATCATGAAATTTAATTAAAGACCAATAAGTTCCATGAAAGTTCATTGAAATAGTGATGAGAATGTCTATGAAATTCATAGACATTATTGCTGTCCTAAGTCTCAAAAAAGGACTCATTAAAATCAGTAATTGTCAATTCTACATCCTCATTAGAATTGCCTGGAGTACTTTAAAATAAAAATACAAATACATGGACCCCATCTGAGCATTAAATCAGCAGGACCCACACGTAGTTATTTCTACAAAGCTCTTCCTGTGATTGTAACATGCAGTCAGAGTGTAGAACCCCACAGTGGAGGCCATGAGACCACCTGGTCTCAGAAGATCAACCCTACCAATGGGAAACTCACATTAGGGTCACAGAGCTTTCAGGAGCCTCATTCAAGTCCAGTGAAGCTTTCAGGAAAAAAATACTCTTTGTAAATAACTATTTTTCAAAATTGCACATGGTGTTATAAAACCTTCAAGAAACTCAATACTCCAAATGGAATAGCAGTAGTAAAATTATTTTCTAAGCAATAACCGTGGCTAGAATAATTAGGTACTTAACTTTAGGTGTAGAAATTAAGGCAAATACAATTTATCGTCAGTCTTTGTTGGCTCCCTCTTCTTCACTCTGAGAACTACTCCAGGGATATAGATTATTTAGATACACTGTTTATAGTCATATTACTTTATTTTAATATGACAAGGACAATAGGACTCAGTAACAGTGGTGTGTCGAATCATTAATTTTGGTGTTTAAAAAGTTCTAAGCTGTATAACAATGTTCCTTTTTTTTTTCTTTCAGAAATTTTGTGATGAAGTTAATCAAATAACAAATTCTGAAACCCTCTCGAGTATAGACAGTCTTGAGGCTGGGGAACATGAAGAAATATATTTAACCCTTAACAAGGAGCCTTCCACATCAAACCAGAAGAATTTCATTTCTCTCAAATCAGTAAATCCGCAATCAACTAATCTAAGCTGCTTTGATGAAGATAAACCGTCACTCTCTAAAACTCAGCATATAAATAATTGGCTCATAAATGTAAATGATCCAAATACTCAGACTGTCACACCTTTCTCAGATATTTTAAGTAATCCTAACGTTCTGCCTTCTTGTGAATGTTTTAACGGTAAAGAAGAAAATCCACCTGTGGAAAGAGTGACAAATAGTGCTAATAATTCAGGAGCCTTTGTATATAGTCCACCCATATTTGTACAAGACGGAAAAAGCAAAGAGGTCTCCGAAACTAGCCCTGTGAGGGCAACTGACTCCTCTTCTGGAACATTCAAAAGGGCGAGACCATTTGTTACTGAGAGCCCAAACTTTAAATTCAGCAGAGTCTGGGCCACTCCAGATAGTCCAACACAGGAAACGGCTGCGTTTTCAGACCAAGGGAGCGATTCCGAGTTAACACAAGAAAATAGAACTGCTCCATTTGTACCTGTGGCAACATGTATGGTTTTGCCACGTCATACGCAGCTGGCTAGGCCTTTACCAAAGAGCAGTCTACATATAAAGGAAGTCGAGCCTGCGCCGGGTTCTGGTAAGTTAGGAGAATTGACCAACGTTAACGGTGAGAAGTTAAAATACTTCCATTGTGATAAGGGAGAGTTGCCTTTGTTTTCAGATGATTTCCAAGTTGCCTATATACCTCACAACTCTGATTCAAATGATAAAAAACACAAAATACCCCAAACATCAACGTCAGTGTCTAACATGATTTCTAAGTGTGACTTAGTGGGTCAGCACAAGAAGATGAAATACAACATTCATGAGAGAAATGGTGTGAGGTTCCTGAAAAGTATTTTAAAAAAAGAATCTAAATACGAACACAATTGTTTTAAGGCACTAGTTATAAACCATAGCTTTAAGTTAGGAAATCAAAAAGCAGCAGCTATCAGAGATAGTATTGAATTAACAAAAGAAAAAGGTACAGAAATTCCAAAGACTATTAAAAAACTGAGGTGGTTTGATGAAACTGGAGATACAGAAAAAAATGCTGCAGACCATCACTCACTGAAGAACAGAACAGAGCTAACTCAGCAGTGGTCTCAGCCTTTCCACGTTCAGACCAAAAGTGGTGTTGCCGGCAACGCAGTTAGAGTTCCTGCCCTAAGCGCTGTAGATTCTGCTGATGGAACGAAGCCCGAGGAGGATTCTGTCTCTGACAATGTCGCTGCTTTAGGAGAAGCTGGGACAGACCATGTGCCTCTGAACTGTTTTATGCCTTCAGGTTATAACGTTGCTAAACAAGCCTGGCCACCCTCAGAAAAAGAGGGCAGTCAACCCCCTCCGCAAAGTGGCGGTTCTAAAGCTCAGAAAGCAAATCCACCACAAGGTGGTACAAGAGTAATGCGAAGAACAAGATCTGCTCAAGTGCAGTCAGCCTTCGTGTGCACACACAGAAAAGGCACTGTCCTTCGGCCCCAGTCCGAGAGCAGAGCCCACAGACTCTTACAAGCTCAGGGTAGACTGATTGTGCCTCATCCTCCTCCTAAGTCTCCGTCAAATATTAGGAGTAGTAAAAATATACAAGTGTCTCAGTGTCAACCGGTAACACTTGAAGATTCTCAAGACGTGATTACAAGTCACTATTTTCATTCCAAGCATGTGCTTCCAACAGAACACAAGTTCAGTCACTGGAATCAGGAAAGTCATTTTCCACCCGCAGCTGTTTGTTTGGACTCTGTCACTGTGATGCCTTCTCTACCGTGTTGTTCTTCTGAGTGCCAAACTTTAGCAAAAATAAATGGTTCAGATGGCACTCAAGTGGTGCCCCAGCAAGGTGGGACTTCACATTGCACCCACAGACGTCCTGTTTACGAAGAAAGCCATCCCTCTGTGACTCTGAGAACTGCTCAAGAAGAGTCTGTTCCCTTGTGGAAAAGACAGAATAATATTCCGGGCCAAAATGAAAAGGCTGCTGGTAAGAACAAACATATATGTTTATAAATAAATTGTACAACGTTTTAAGTTCTTACTGAGGTACAGCAATGTGCACCCTGTAGATACAATATTAAATAATAAGTTAGCGGTACGGAAACGGTCTCTCCTGAACGTTCTATCCTTGTCTGCCTAGCTGGAGCTTTTAAGAGAACCACCCAGCCCTCACTCAACTAAAATTAGAAACTTGCCAGCCTCCATTTTTTTCTCTTGTTAGTTTAAAAGAGGGAGGACAAAGAGTAGGGTCTGCTTTTTACCCCATATCATTCTGTCATTACATTACCCCAATATTGTAGTCAAAATTTCTGTCAAAATAAGCACAGTGGAAAATATTTTTTAAATTATTCTAAGTAGGTAAATAAATGTGGTTATAATACCTTATTTTATTTTTCTTTAAAATGTTTGTTAAATTGAATAGCTATAAGCCAATGACAGGTGTGCCTAGCCCTCCCACTCCCTTTTCAAAAGACTGGCAGCCCTACTTTTATCCCTTCTGTATGCTGGTTTTCATGTGGAGGAAAAGTGACGGTGTTACTTTAAACAGTTTGAAGATTAGCTCCCCATAGAATGCCAGTTACCCTTAGCAGCTAGCTAACTCCTCCTGAAGCTCTTTTCCTCTGGGGGAATGGACTAGAAGCCCATAAATTCCCTGCCAGCAGGAATCAGTTGCCTATTGAGAAATAGATAGGACTTGGGAAAAAATCGGAAAAGCTATTCTTTTCTTTTCCCAAAGATGTGAGTAAATACTAAGATGATGTAAAGAGGGGGTTAGTTTAAAATTTAATATTCAAAGTCTTCTTTAATTAGACTGAGATTTTAAGGACAGGGGGCATTTGTTGTAATTCATCACTGTCTCCCCAGGTCCTGGCACTTAGTAGTCACCCACACTTTTCTTAAATTGAATGGATGTAAGTCATATTAGCAGATGGGAAGCTAAATGCGAAGACTCTAAACTAAAAACTTTCAGTACTTGGCTACAAAAATCTAGATGGTTTTTGTTTTCTTTTTTTTTTCATTTTTCATCACAAGTGTCCTTCGTCCTCATCAACTGTTTCACCCCCATCCCCCCGCACCTCCCCTCTGGGGACCCTTAGTGTATTCTTTATAGTTAAGAGTCTGTTTCTTGGCAAAAACCTAGATTTTTTAAAAATTATTTTTCTCACTAAAGATTTTATTTCCTTTTAATCTAGGCATTTTACAGTGTAACTTTAGTTTTCACACTACTTCCAAAAAAAAAAAAGAAAGTATCATATAGATTGAGTAAAAACCATTGTATGTATATATATATATACACCACATCCACCGGTTTGCTCTCTATAGTTGAAGAGTCTGTTTTTTGGTTTGGTTTGTCACTTTTTTCTTCAGTTGTTCTGTTTCTTAAATTCCACTTTCAGGTGAGATCATATGGTATTTGTCTTTCTCTGACTGACTTACTTTGTTTAGCATTAAACCCTCCAGATCCACTCCTGTGGTTGCAAATGGCAAGATTTCATTCTTTTAGTGGCTGAATAATATTCCAGTGTATGTGTGTGTATCACGTCTTCTTTATCCCTTCATCTATCAGTGGACACTTAGGCTGCTTCCATAATTTATTAGATCGTATGGTAGTTCTATTTTTAACTTTTTGAGGAACCTCCATACTGTTTTCCAGAGTGGCTGCACCAGCTTGCGTTCCCACCAACAGTGTAGGAGGGTTCCCCTTTCTCTGCATCCTCTCCAACACCTGTTGTTTCCTGTGTTGTTGATACTAGTCATTCTGACTGGTGTGAGGTAATATCTCATTGTGGTTTTGATCTGCATTTCCCTGATGATAGTGATGTTGAGCATCTTTTCATGTGTCTGTTGACCATCTGTAGGCCTTCTTTGGAGAAATGTCTCTTCATGTCTTCTGCCCACTTTTTAATTGGATTGTTTGTTTTTTGGGTGTTGAGTTGTATCAGTTCTTTATATATTTTGGGTACTAGCCCTTTATTGGAAATGTCATTTGCAGATATCTTCTCCCATTCAGTGGTTGTGTTTTCATTTTATTGATTGTTTCCTGTGCTGAGCAGAAGCTTTTTATTTTGATGTAGTCTCAATAGTTTATTTTTGCTTTTGTTTCCCTCACCTCGGGAGATATATCTAGAAAAATGTTGCTACAGCCAATATCAGAGAAATTAGTGCCTGTGCTCTCTTCTAGGATTTTTATGGTTTCAGTTCTCTCATTTAGGTCCTTAATCCATTTTGAGTTTATTTTTGTGTACAGTGTAAGAAGCTGATCCACTTTCATTGTTTTGCATGTTGCTGTCAAGTTTTCCCGGCACGATTTGTTGATGAGACTTTTTCCCATTGCGTATTCTTGTCTACTTTGTCGAAGATTAATTGACCACATAATTGTGGGTTTACTTCTGGGTTTTCTATTCTGTTCCATTAATCTATGTATCTGTTTGTGTGCCAGGACCATGCTGTTTTGGTTGCTATGACTTTCTAGTATATCTTGAAATCTGGGATTGTGATACCTCCAGCTTTATTTTTCTTTTTCAAGATTGCTTTGGCTATTTGGGGTCTTTTGTGGTTCCCTACACCTTTTGGGATTGTTCTGGGTCTGTGAAAAATGCTGTTGACATTTTGATAGCAACTGCATTACATCTGTATGATGCTTTGGATAGTATGGACATTTTAATAATATTTGTTCTTCCAACCAATGAACATGGAATATCTTTCCATTCATTTGTGTTGTCTTCAATTTCTTCCATCAGTGTTTTATAGTTTTCAGAGTACAGGTCTTTCACCTCCTTGATTAAGTTTATTCCTAGGTATTTTATTCTTTTTGGTGCAGTTGTAAATGTGATTGTTTTCTTCAGCTCTCTTTCTGCTACTTCATTAATAGTATACAGAAATACAACACATTTCTGTCTATTGATTTTGTATCCTGCAACCTTATTGAATTCATTTATCAGTTCTAGTAGTTTTCTGGTGGAGTCTTTAGAGTTTTCTATATATAGTATTGTGTCATCTGCAAATACTGGAAATTTTACTTCTTCCTTAATGATTTGGATGCCTTTTATTTCTTTTTGTTGTCTAATTGCTGCAGCTAGGACTTCCAGTGCTGTGTTGAATAAAAGTGGTGAAAGCGGACACCTTTGTCTTATTCTTGATCTTAGGGGAAAAATCTCTGTTTTTCACCATTGAGTATGATGTTAGCTGTGGGTTTTTCATTTATGGCCTTTATTATGTTGAGGTACAATCACTCTAAACCTACTTTGTCGAGGGTTTTTATCTTGAATGGATGTTGTACTTTGTCAAATGTACTTTTTCTGCATCTATTGAAATGATCATATGGGTCTTATCCTTTATTTTATTAACGTGGTATATCACAGTGATTGATTTGCAAATATTGAACCACCTTGCATCCTAGGAATAAATCCCACTTGATCTCAGTTAATGATTTTTTTAATGTATTATTGGATTCAGTTTGCTAATATTTTGTTGACGATTTTTGCATCTATGTTCATCAGAGATATTGGCCTGTAGTTCTCTTTTTTTGTAGTGTCTGTATCTGATATCTTTTGGTATCAGGGTAATGCTGGCTTCATAGAATGAATTTGGAAGTTTACCTTCCTCTTCTGTTTTTTGGAATAGTTTGAGAATAGGTATTAACTCTTCTTTAAATGTTTGGAAGAATTCACCTGTGAAGCCATCAGGTCCTGGAATTTTGTTTGTTGGGAGTTTTCTGATTACTGATTCAATTTTATTGCTAATAATTGGTCTGTTCAAACTTTCTATTTCTTCCTGCTTCAGTTTTGGTAATTTATATGTTTCTAGTAATTTACCCATGTTTTCTAGGTTGTCCAATTTATTGACATATAATTTTTCATAATATGCTCCTACAACCCTTGGTATTTCTGTGGTGTCAGTTGTTATTTTTCCTCTTTCATTTCTGATTTTGTTTATTTGAATCTTCCCTCTTTTTCTTTTTTTATGAATCTGGCTAGAGATTTATCAATTTTATTGTTTGTTTTGTTTTTGTTTTTTTCAAAGAACCAACTCCTGGTGTCATTGATCTGTCCTATTGTTTACGTATCATTTATTTCTGCTCTAATCTTTATTATTTCCTTCCTTCTGCTGTTTTGGGGTTTTGTTTGTTGTTCTTTTTCTAGCTCCTTTAGGTGTAAAGTTAGGTTGTTTATTTGAGATTTTTCTTGCTTCTTGAGGTAGGCCTGTATTGCTATAAACTTCCCTCTTAGAACCATTTTTGTGGCATCCCAAAGATTTTGGACCATTGTGTTTTTATTTGTCCCCATGTAATTTTTGATATCCTCTTTGATTTCTTGGTTCACCCATTCATTTCTTAGTAGCATGTTATTTACTCTCCATGTATTTGTGTTCATTCCAGGTTTTCTCTTGATTGATTTCTAGTTTCATAGGGTTGTGGTCAGAAAAGTTGTATAGTATGACTTCTGTCTTTTTTAATTTGTTGAGACTTGTTTTGTGGCCTAATATGTTATGTATTCTGGAGAATGTTCCACGTGCACTTGAAAAGAATGTGTATCCTGCTGTTTTAGGATGGAATGTTCTGAATGTATCTGTTAGATACATTCTGGTCCAGTGTGTCATTCAAAGCCTTTGTTTTCTTGTTGATTTTCTGTTTGGATGATGTATCCATTGATGTAAGGGGGGAGAGGGTTAAAGTCCCCTACTATTATTGTATTACTATCAAGTAGTTCCTTTTAGTTTATTATTAACTGTTTTATGTATTCGGATGCTCCCATGTTGGATGCATAAATATTCATAATTGTTGTATCTTCTTGTTGGATTGAATTCCTTCATGATTACATACTGTCCTTCTTTGTCTCTTATTACAATCTTTGTTTTAAAGTTTATTTTGTTAAAATAAATAAATAATAAAGTCTAGGTTGTCCTACACACACATACATACATACATACATACATACATACATACATACCTTGGCTTTCTTTTCACTTCCATTAATACAATAAATG